GCTCCTCGATCTCCTGCAGCGAGTCCTTGACACGGGAGACGAGGAGGACGAGGAAATAAAGAAACAGACAAGGAAGAGAAGGAGGAGGAGGAGGAGTATATTTCCCACCTGTTCGAGCTCTTTTGCCTCATTCTGAAGGCTTTCTCGTTCCTTATCGCTCGTCAGTCCCTCCTCCTCTCATCTACTTCACGCACCTTCACCAGCTCCTCCAGCGCCTCCTTGGCCGCCTGCGCAATATCGTCAGCTCAGCTTCGAGCTTCTCCTTGCAAGTGACCTGAGGGTCGCCGTAGTCGCCTCCTCCGAACAAGAACGCCATCCTATGCCATGCGCTCAGTTCTCCGTGAAGAAGAGGCCGTCTTCATGGCTCCTGCCTACTTCTCTCCAGCCTCCAGCGTTGCTCCTCATTCGTTTTGACAGACATTCGCCATGAAAACTTCTCTGCTCTCTTAGTTCTACTCTTCTCCACACACTCTCGCAATCTTGTTCCTCCTAGTTGTTTTCAGACAGAAAGCAGATCTTCATGTTAAGCTCCCCATCCTATTCCAAGTTGCCCTTCTTTCCCTCCCCCCCCTCCCCCCCCCCCCTTTCCTTTCCTTTCCTTTCCTTTCCTTTCCCTGCTCTGAACACATTCTCTTCTCCTGCCGTCTTCTTTCCCTCCTCTCCCCTCTCCCCTCCCCTCCTTTTTATCCTCTTCTCCTCCTTTCCAGCACCGCTGCTGCTCTGCAGCATTTCACCCCCCAGCAGGATCCTGGCATGGCGTCATCTGCAACAGAAATGAAACCGCTGCAACTGACGTAACGAATCGGAGGCTTGCCTGATTGGAATCGATTTGAAACGCCGAGTCAACAACCTATCGGATTTGAATCGAATTTTATCAGTCAGGGAGTTCCCATGCCGTCAAAGGCCCACGGTGATGGGCACGGAAGGGAGGGGGAGGGGGAGGAAGGAGAAGGGGAGGAAGGGGAGGGAGAGGAGAAGCGAATTGCGAGAAGGGAAAACCATGTGCATCTTGCAACAGGACAGGATCATCCTCAAGAGCGAAATAGAAAACTTTACCAGACTGAAAATGAAAACCACGAGATGTATCCAACAGGGCTTGAAAGTGAAGATAGCGGTGATGAAGAAAGCAGCAACGACGAGGACGAGGACGAGGACGATGAGGATGACGAAGATGAAGAAATCCGAGAGGACATGCGGGCTAGAGTCGAGAACGGATACCTTCCCTCAATGGAGACTCATATCGTCCTCTGGAAGTACGGGATCTGCAAATTTCCTGACGATGGTAATCCCTCTCATACATAATACATCCTTGACGACCGACGTGATTGATTGCAGTGACAAGACCGAACCACCTTGCTGTGATAGACCTGAGATACAACCTGGTCAGACCATGCAATACATTGACGATTCTGCTGTGAGCAATCTATGGCAGATCCGGGAATTCCCACCTGAGATGAGGCACATGAAGCGGCTGGTGCACCTGGATCTCACTTCCAATCGCATCGAAACCATCCCTGAGAGGTAGACCAAAATCACAGGACACGATGTACATCACGTAACCGAGAGTTCATCTTCAGTAGACGTAATGGGTGCCTTGCAGTCTTCGTTGACCCCTTCTTTCTTCAGCATCTCCCACCTCAAGCGTCTCCGTGGACTGTTCTTGTCTAACAATACGATCCGAGAGATTCCTGTGGGTCTTTGCTCTCTGGGCAAACTTGAGGTGGTCAAACTCGTCAGCTCATCGACTTTGTCTTCTCACCTCCTGTGCTTGTCAGATCCTCCGGCTCGATCGCAACCGTCTCCTCCAAGTCCCATGGTTGCGCCTCCTCCCCACCTTCCTCCGATCTCAGCAGTGAAGCAGGGAGATCGGGCGCTTGAGTCGTCTGGAAACAATGTCGCTCGGTGGGGTAGAACGTTTGTTGGGAGAGAAGCTCATGGTTGGCAGATTGTAACAGACTTACTTCTCTACCGCCGGAGATGGCGCTCCTGACCCGGTTGCATACACTGACACTCAAGGTTGAGAAATATCCTGAAGATTGTCATACTGACGATGGGACTTCAGGGAAATCCGCTGATCTTGTGTACGTCTTCAAGAGTAAGGTGATAAAGATGACGAGGATGATGGTAGATATTGTGGTGTTGTGCTGTAATGATGATGATGATGATGATGATGAGGAGGAGGAGGAGGAGAGAGATGAGAACGAGGATAAGGAGGACGAGGAGGACGAGGTTGACGAGGACGAGGACGATGAGGAGGAGGACAAAGATGTGGACGGGAGGAAAAAGATGATAGAGAGGGGGAAGATGAGAACGATGAAGCTTGTGGTTATGCTAGGATGATAGTTGTTGGCAGGGACGTGGCGCCAGCAGCGATCGGGGAGGTGAGGTGTGGGAGGATGAGGAGGTTCTGACCAGCACAAGGCGCCTGTCTCCCTCTTCGACTCCGACGAGCGCGAGGCAGGTAAGGACGCGGACGAAGAGACAAAAGGAGAGAAGGAAGAAGGAGATACCGGAGGCGGGAATGAGGAGGGGAGGAGGGAGGAGGGAGGAGGGAGGAGGGAGGGGAGGAGGGGGCAATGATTTCATTGTCTTCCCTCTCAGATGCGGCGCATGCTTCCGGGCGATCAACTTTGCATCGAAAGGGACATGACAGGTAGGCGGTGATGGAGGGGCAGGGGCAGGGGCAGGGGCAGGGGCAGGTGGTGGTAGAGGAAGAGCAGGGATCGTGTTGAAGAGGAGGGGTGTTGGAAGGTTTTCCTTCTGTTTGATATCTCTTGTTTTAGTCTGCTTTCCTTCCTAGCGTCTCAGCTTCTGTTTCAAGACCATTCGTACCGTGAGCTCAACAAGGTGACGCTACGTTGATCGGCTACTTCCTCTTCTCCCGCTTTCACTTCTCTCCTCTCCCTCCTCCCTCCTCGCCTTCTGCTCCATCTTTCTTCCTCCCCTTCCTCTTCCTCATAAAGTTGTGCTCAGGTCCCGACTTCAATTTTCCGATCGACGCAGCTTCAGGCTCTTTCACTGCGTCAAAACCTTCTCGAAAGTCTTCCAGAAGAGCTTGAGGTCTTTCAGATCTTCCGGTTGACATTGTTCTTGACATTGTTCTTGGCTGCCATGTCCTTCCCTCCCGCTCAAACAACAGGGACACACCAATCTTCGTCTCCTCGACGTGTCGCACAACAGGGTCGAAAAGATCCCACGAGCGTATACGTCTCTTGTGAACCTGCAAGAGCTCAACGTGTCTTTTAATCAGGTACAGCTGCTGCAGCTCCTTGCAATCTCCGTTCTCTCACAACTACTTCATCTTTCTGTTGTACCTTCTCGACTGTTACTTTTCCTTCTATCCTCCTTCTTCACTGTTTGCTCACAACATAACAATTTCCCTTATCATCAAACAAGTATCTCACAATAGATGCAGATGATCAATACAGCATCTCAAGAGAACAGCTACGAGGATCTCTCATTTCCCATTGAGGTTCTTCCTGATCGTCTCAAACTTGTTCTCCTGACCCATCACAGTTGGGTCCTGCCCTTCGGAACCTTGAAACTTTACTCCTCTCCTCCAATCGTTTCGCCTTTCTCCCTCCTGCCGTGAGACTATCTTGCTCTTTCAGCCTGTCTCGCTTTCACCCTGACCCACAATCCACCTACCTTC